AGAAAGGAAAGACTGTGTAATAAAAAAATGCAGTAAAGGAACAAAACTGAAACAACTAAATGTACCTGATTAATTCCGGCGATGCTACCAAACATATTACAATTGCATGATAAAGAGGGGTTAGATAAACATTTGTAGACTTTAAAAGAAAGGCTAAGTGAGACTTTAAAAGAAAGGCTAAGAAAGGCTAAGTGATAAGCATATGAGAATTTAAAGTGGGATATCAGCTTTTAGTTTGGAGTTGGGCTCAGACTAGACCTCTTTTTCTTCTTTATCTCGACTTCACAGGCAACTGATATATCGAAGTCAACTTATCAATATCAACTAGAGGTCACCAACGAATCACCCCTATAAACAGGCAGTCCTAAACCTTATCGTTCAATGCATGTGTGAATCTAAATAGTATCCAGACTTATCTTATTAAAGATACAAAGTACGTATGTGAGATAGTATCTGAACTTATCAAGGCGTAGTGCACCTATGTGTGATGCTAGTATAAATGATGTATAGTATCCAAACTTATCGGGGTGTGGTGTGGGGTGTGGTGTGCCTATGTGTGGGCCTATGTGTGGTGCTAGGATAAATGATGTATAGTATCTAAACTTTCAAAAGAAATATAATATATATTCTTGTGATATATGTTATGTGGAGTGTCTAGTGTATAGTGTATGATGTGTTGCAAATGTAGTATCTGTCGTGCAGAGTGTAAGGTGTAGTGTCTATTGTGTATCGTAGTATTTATTGTGTAGTGTATGAAATGTGTTATATGATACGTGGAGTGCATATGTAAGTGTTATTATGTGTATATGTATTAATCCAGTGTATAGTGGCTATGGTGTAATATTTATCATTTTGTGGATTTGGAATCTATTCCTTTTGTAAGTGTAGTATCTGTGTAAGACCTGCAGTATCTGTTCTTTTACAAGTGCAGTATCTATGCAAAAATTTGTAGTATTTGTTCTCTTACAAGTGTAATATATGTGCAAAAACTTGTAGTATTTGTGCTTTCCTAACTACCAATTCTCAAGCCTTTTGAAAAGGGTTAGAGTTGTCAACAACTTAGGGGTGAAAGGGCATCTCACTAATTGAATATTGATTTTATGTTTTCAGCTATAAGAAAAACTGATCAATGGTTCTTTGCATCATTGTCTGTTACCCCACACCTCGAACTTATAGGCCACTCTAATATTCCATATGTTTACCCAAAAAAAAATTGTACATTTAACATTGTATATTTTATATCAAGAAAATGAGAGAAGTAATCATTTAAGCATTTCTATAACATCCATCTTCCACTTCTAAGTTCAAACTTTAAACCTGTACATATGATTATTACATGCTCTATCAATTTTTCAAAGAGAAATATGTTTTCATTACTCGGGATGCTAAAGCAACTGTCCAAAACATCGAATAATCCCAATATATATTCAAATAAGAGCACTTTTCAAAAGAACCGAAAACCATTTTCAATGTGTATTCAAATAAAATAACAAGGGGAGCAAATACTACAACATCTAGAACTAATTCTCAAAGCTAAAAGATAGCTTTCAATATATATTCGAATAGCACGGCAAGAGGGGCAAGAATTGCAGTTCCAAAACTACTATTCCAGAACAAAAATAAATCTCCAAACATGCATTTGAATATAGGTATCAAGAAGCATAGAAACATGCCCCAAACAGGTGTAAAAAATGATTTCCAATATATGTTCAAACAAGAGCAGCAAAGAGAACCAAAACCAAATCCCAAATATATTTTTCAAAACATAAAAATGACTTCCAGCAAGTATTTGAACAAAGGACAGCAAGGAGAACCAAAACTAAGCCCCAAGTGTATTTTTCAAACCATTCGAACAAGGGACAGCAAAAAAAAAATCAAAACCGAGCCCCATGTATATCTTTCTCAGCATTAAAACAGATCTCAACATGTATTCGAACAAAGATCTCAACATGTATTCGAACATTCGAACAAAAGTAGTAGCATAAGGAGTAAAACCGAGTCACCAAATGAAGGAGCAAAATTGAGCCATTACTCAAAATATTAAAGCAGGTGTCCATAATCAAATAGTCCCAAATATATATTCGAATAAGACAACGAGGAAAGTAAAACTGCGACTCCAAATTAATTCTCAGGACAAAAAAAAAAAGTCTCCAATATATTTATTTGCATAGGGAGAACAAAAAAAAGACAGAAATCAGCTCCCAAATAATATTCAAAACCAGAAAATAAATTTCCAACATGTATATTCACATAGGGACAACAAGAAGCATAGAAAATTAACCCTCTAAAACTGATCAAAATGTAAAACATATTTCCAACATCTCCATTTGAATAAAGGCAGCGAGGAGAACAAAACCCAACTCCAATATATAGCTGTTTCAAGCACCAACATATTCCAATATATATTCGAATGAAGAGGCATCAAGAAGATCAAAACCGAGCTTATCAAAATAATTTGCTCAGCATGATAACTATAACAAATTTCCGAACAAATCTCATTTCAAGAAACGTATAAGAACAAACCAATATTCTTCACTGAGCATCATATATCCATAGGTTTAACTCCCTCTCTCTTTTTTTTTATTGTCTATAATATTCAAGAATCACTAATGATGTAAGCCAAAAGAAGAGATCAAGCTCTTAGAGTAATCGAAATATGTTTTAGAAATCCATTTGATATGGATCATAAAATTCTTTGAAAATACCAAAGAAGAAGACGAGAAACTTACCTCCAAATATTTTTAGAAGATTTAAAAGAACTTAGACGTAGTAAGCAAAACAATCTCTGGATCCAATAATGAAAGAAGCTAATCCCGAAAGAAGTTGTCAACCAACCGAAACTCTCTCTTAGTATACGAATCAGAGAAATCCAACCAAAAAACTCTTCTCGAACAACTTTCAGAAAGCTCCCAGCAAACCCCAAACAAAAGTCCTCAAATCACTCAAAGAAATTTTCATCATCCCCGAATCCTTCCTCAGAACTCAGATGAGGTATTTATAGGCGGAGATAAGAGAGGGGCGCACCGACAAGGCTTATGCATTTGGGCGGTAAAATTTGTTAAAACAAAAAAAGGTTACCGGCGGCGAAGGTCGGTTAAGACCGACGACGAAAGAGGCCACCAGAGAACCGAAAGAAATCTCAAGATTCGGTCAAGAAAAGGGAGGAGGAGGAAGAGGTCTGGTTAGGGCAAACGAAGTTTCGAGAAAGGAAAAGGGAACTTGTGAGTTTGAGATTAGATTTAGGAATAAAAAAAAAACTTTTTATTAAAAAAAAATTATTATATTTTTTTAAAGAAAATATCAAATTTTGTGTAATCCATTCATGCGCGGTGCCCCAACAAAATATGTGTCCTCCATAGCTAAAATTGAATTTCCGGACGCGATGACGGGGTCTATTTCATCATCCGGAGTCATCCGGACAAACTCGTCGACAATTGCGCCAAATTAACTTCAATTCGGGCACGGCGCGTCAAATGAAATTATTTTGATACGATCGGAACCGTTAAACAAGTATATCGATGACCGGTCCTTGTATAAACGACAAACAAAGTTAAACATATTGCTCTCGGTAGAAAGTCAAACATCGAAAGCCATGGGGTCCGCTTATGTCTTTCAAATTTCTATAGGAGTTCAATTTGAGCTTCAATATGTCTCAATATGTCGGAGCTTCAATATGTCGGCTTTTCAATCGACTCAATTGAATGTTGAGGATCTGAAACCGCCCTATGAAACTTAAAAAAAACAAAAAAGTAGCTCGAATTTCTAAGTGGTGTAGATCTCAGTCTAGTCCTCTAGGAGAGTCAAAATAGAAATCTTAAGGCTAGATCCTAGGGTATCTAAGGAAGGGAAAAGAAGACCTAAAAAATGATGTCAACACACTTAAAAATTTTGTTGTCGTGCGCACTACCCTCTCAGCCGGGCATGACGAACGTAAAGCACATGTTAAAGTTGCACATAATCATAACATTTTGTGTAGGGGCTCCACAACACCCAATAAATGCAATATTTTCATCTTTTGTAACTCTTACATCAACGTGGGTTTCATATATTGCTCGAATGCAATCTTACACAGATGCATTTGAGTTATTAATGTCCAGTATTCATATTTAAAATTGAATACTATAAATTGCAAATGTTACCTTAAAGAAGGGCATGTAACGTGCATCATGTTGAATCTCTGTAGGAGTTCGTGTGAACGTTGGATCAGTTGGTTTTATGACTTCTTTAGATAGGCTCACAAGTGCATTCAGACCCACAGAGAAGTATCTACTGATCATCTCAGATGAGTGTTGGAATCGTTCCATCGAACCACACATTAACTCATTGTGTGACAATATGTAGAGAGTTATCGCTAAGACCTCGTGTTGTGTCATCTTCGATGACCCATGAAGACCATGGAATCCACTAAGTTCTGCTAGAAGATCTGTAAATACTTTCTGCCTCATGCAGAACATGTTGAATCTGGTTGAATGTCCAGCAAGCAGTTCCCCAACCTATTTGTCACCAAAATAAGATGTTGTGAAGCATGGAGAGTGGTCAATGTACGTGTTGTAGTACTCAACGATCAAGGCGATCGTTGCATTTCTCCGTCTGTCTTTCTTGTTCTGAATCCATGATAATGTATATTGTACTAGTATTAATTAAAAATAAATGGAATTAATAAATCACAAAGAAAACATGACCCAAACAATTATAAGAGATTAAAATGATGGCTTAAGATTTTCAAATAATCATATCACTATAAAATAGAATAACGAAGTAAAATTGTTCCGAACAACAACATATGAAAAAAAATAATCCCCTCACTCAATAGCAAATAAGAAAAAAAATTCCTCAGTTATCTCTACGTGCATGAAAATGTCGTAGATATACAACCTCGTTTTTATTTGACAATCGTTGCAAAGAAATCTCTGTGGAGCGAATCTTGAAGAAGTTCTACTGCAATTCTACTGCAAAAAAGTATAGGTCAAAATCCTCTGAAATTTCATCACCTTTATGCAGAATTTCTGCAACATGCTTAATGGAATTTGCCTGAACTGTGTGTGGGGCATCGTTGGAAGGACCCACCATATGTGATATCCGGTTTCTGAGAAAAGCAGCTCCACCCTTTTTTCTACCCTCTACACAATGACACTTAGAAAAGTTTGGGGTCTGGATTTCAGGGATTTCCAGGCTATTGAGATCGGGTGAATCACATGCTAGGTTGATGGCCACATTCTCAGGGGTGTCACAAAACCTTGTCTCACTTGAAGCACATGCATATTTGTCTGTTGCGACGACACCCTCAAACATCCGGTCCAGCTTCTCCTCAAACTCGGGTTCAATGCCACAAAATTTGTACTTCTTCGTTGTCGGCACCGCCTGCAAAATCATATTAAACACTTCAATTAGTACTAAAAAATAAAAGAAATAAAATTATATGAATGATAATTTGCTCATCGCAAGTCTTTCAGCCCACCACTCCGCCGAAGCATCAATGGTTCGTTTCACCATGTTCACTTCACCGGATCCCAACCCAAGTCCGTTGATCTTCGTTTCAATTCCTTTCAAATTTTCCAATCATTCTTGAGTTGATCTCATTTGTTCTTCATTTGCAACCTGTCATACACCCTGCCCGTACTTTCTTTGAAATTTTCGATAATATTTTGTCATCTTTCCTCATTAAAATAAGTTGTGGATCTATTTCCAAGTTTAATCTCCTTAAGGCAGAGGTCACAAAATAATAATTTTGTTTCTTTTTTCTCATATTGTCGGTGTATCGGTGTCGCGGCGCTCTTTGATCGCTCCCCCAAACATGGCCATAATTGCATAAAAAGGATGTGAGCACCCGGGGACGATGGAATTGAAATAATGGGATCTTATGCAAATCACATTGGGTCTATTTAGGACAGTTATAACAGTTTAAAGAAGCAATTATAGAATAAATTTTTATCAACCATCGCATTTATTCAGATCAGATTGTTAAACACAGTTTCCCATCGTAGTTTTTTGAAAAGTCAGGCAAAACTTCATTTTACCAAATGCCACAAAATAAGAATCGGCACCACACCGCCACTAAATGCACCCTAATCTCTTGGTTGAGAGTTGTAGGTTTTAAATCAAGAGGTTATAAATTCAAGGCTTTGTTATATATGTACATGTCAATGCCTGGATGCAGGCAGCAAGCTGAAAAAAGGCCACAAGCCAATTTGCTGATCAATTTGGAATTTATCAATTTGAGCGAATTTCTAATTAATCAACATTCAAATGTTGGGGATAATCAAAATTCATAAAATATATATATATATTTGGATTTATTTTATTTTAGATGATACAACTTAGAAGTTAAAATGCATGCATTTCAAATGTAATTAACTCAAAATATCTTAGAACAAATAATTACAAATTTAAGAAAAAATCCTTTTTTCATGACCATCGATTATGGGAAGCTGAAACATCATAACATTTGATAATCTTTAACCATTCTTACAAATGTGGCACATTAAAGATTACCTAAGCAAATAAGATAATTTTATACACATTGAAGGTACAAATGGAGAATCGATGATAACATGATCAATATAGATACACAATCAACGAATTTCCAACAAGGCATAAATTAGATCTCGTGACATCTTTTTCGAGTAAAAAAGATTCAAACTTTGATAAAATGTCATCCAAAAGTTTGATTTCAGCAAACATACAATCAAACCGACACATCAAATGTCTTCAACTACTTCATAAAATTGTGAACAAATTATTAATATCTTATATATATAGTGCATTTTACTCAAACAAGTGATCATAGTGTTACTTTTTATGCGATATTAAAGAACTGAGTGAGATGTGTGTAAATATGAAATTTTAAATATGAGATATGTAAATACATAAGAATTATGTGCTATCATGCAAATGACCCATTATAAATTCTGAAATTAAAATGACCCCATGCAAAATGTCAGAAGTCTATTTCTAGCACTTCCCTCCATACATAGTAGATGAAAGCATAAATGCACAATCCCAAAGTCAAGCTTGAACAAGCAAATCCACCTCAAATTCACGAATTCTACGTCTGAAAGTTTTGAAATAATCCTTTGGAATGATGCTCGAGAAGTATGGATTTAAGTGGGACAAAGCCATAACACCGTCTTCCAAGTTTAAATCTTTAAGATTTTAAAGAAGATGAAACTATGACACCTACTATCTGGACTAACCTGCTTATATCGAGTTGCTCATATTTGTCAACAGTGTCAGCCTAACTCCATTCCGGCCTTCGATGTTGCTTGTCTTGAGATCCATTTTGATTCAAATCACCACCCCTGACAGCAGAAACACAAACCCTAGGCTCATGAAACTACAGCCTCATTCCCTGCAATGAACCATCTGAGTCTCTCAGTCTCACCAATCGCCGGCAACCATCCAGAAAGAATCTCCATTGTCGTCAGATCAGGATCACAACCCTCCTCTTTCATCTGCTCCATCAGCTCAAACGCCATTGCAGACATATTCTTCTCGCAAAGTCCTTTCATTATTGCATTATAAGTGATGATATTTGGAGGTACCCTGCTGCTTCGCATTTGATCCAGAAGAGAAACCGCCGTGCCAATCCCTCCACTTTTGCAGAAGGAATCAATAAGAACGTTGTATATTGCTGCGTTGGGCTCAAATTTTGAGTCTTGCAAGCTCTGAAAGATCTTCACGGCTCCGTCGCGATCACCATTCTTACAGAATCCATGGATGAGAGTGCCGTAAGTGACCAGAGAAGGCTCGCAGTTATCATCCATCATTTGCTTCAACAGAGTTTGCGCCATGGAAAAATCCCCAGCCTTGCAGTAAGCGTCAATCAGAGTGTTGTATGTGACGACATCTGGCTTAATTCCGGCTTCAGACATTTCATGAAACAGTTTCAAAGCCTTCTCCATCTTCTTCTTCTTCCCAAATCCCGTAATCAGGATGTTGTAGCTCTTCGTATCGAGTTGGAATCCATTTTTCCTCATCGATGATGCGACCGAGCTTGCATCATCGATCCTTCCAGCCATGGATAAGCCTGATATCAGAGTGAAGTAGGTAACAGCATCAGGGGAATGCCCTTCACGAATCATTTCATTAAACAATTCCATCCCCTTGCTCACATTGTTTGCATGGAGGAAAGCTCCGATGAGAGTGCAGTAAGTAACAGAATTCCCCCTGGCGTTGGCCCATGCCATCTTCTTCTCACAGAAGAAGCTCAGAGCGCTGCTCACCATGCCGTTCTTGCACATCCCAGAAATGAGAGTGTTAAGCGTGACGATGTTAGGAGAAACGCCTTCTTCCACCATTCGAGCATTAAGCTCGAAGGCAGCATCAATATCCCCAGATTTGCAGAACCCATCAATAAGGGCATTGAAGGTGATGGCATTTGGATCGCAATGGTGAGTTTTCATGCGGTCAAGAAGAGCCAGTCCTTCACAGGTTCTTCCTACCTTACAGAGCCCGTCGATAAGGTTGTTGAAGATGACGGTATCAGGGCCAGCAGCTGAAAACGGCTTCGTCATTTTGTCGAACATCTGGAGTGCAAGGTCGATGTTGCGGGACTTACAGAGATGATTCATAACTATTCCGTATGTAATTACGTTCGCAGCACCGGCTTCCTCTATATCGGAGAATACAAGCGTCATCCTTGAAGTATCCCTGTCCTTCGAGAGTCCGGTGAGAAGAGCGTTCCAGACGGGAACTTCCACGGCACCGCCGCCATTCTTGACGGCATAGATGAGGTCCCACGCTTTCCCCGTGCGGCCATCACGGCAGAGACCGACGACAACCTTGGTGAACTGGTAGGTATCAATGGCGAAAGCGCCAAATTTGGTGATTTGAATGATAAGGTTGAGAATTTCATCGTTCGCGGGCACGCCGCTGCGCGACAGAGTGAAGAACAATATTGAACAGGTGATGGAATTCGGAAGGCAATGGGAGATAGGGCTTAGCATATCGCGGAGAAGGGAAAGCGCTTCAGCCCGGTGATTGGGAACCGGAGAACGGAGGAGAGAAGCGAGGAGATGGTTGCAGAGATCCGTGCAGCGAAGGGAGGGATCCAGAGTCTGGAAGGCGAGGAGAGAATCGGAGGGCGAGCGGGCAGCGGCGAATGAGCGGACAAGGAGGGTAGCAGATCCAGGCGTGAGGGCGTAGCCTTGTTCGTTGGAGCGGAGGAGTAGCTTCTTGAGAGGAAGAAAGTTGCCATCTTTGTTCTCGCGGGCAGCGAGCTGGAAGATGGCCTGGAAGGCGAATGGAGCGTGGGAGGGGGAAGCGGCTTGGAGGCCACGGAGGCGGCACCAGTCGAAGAGGCGGAGAGCGGCGGAGGAGTGGTGGATGGAGCGGAGGAGTTGGTAGAGATGGGAGGGGGTTATTGGGGAGGAGGAGATGAGGGTTTGCAGCTGTTCCTCTGCAAGCAAGGGCAGGCTTTTGTGAACGTTGTGTTTCATTAGAAATCCTCACGGACGCCTCCTCCTCGCCGGCAGGTCTTCGCAAGGCAAAATGAGTATATTTGAGCTCAATAGGTGCGCTCATGCTCTGACTCGTTTACTTGGCCAGTTGAATATGAGAGGTTCACTAAAAAATTCGTTTTGACAATCCTCATGACATAATCACAAAATTTTAAGGATTCAAACAAGATTTTAAATTTATTATTTATATTAAAACATAATTTAAATCTAATTTAATAATTTTTATTTTTTTATTAATTAATAATTTAATTGGTTATAAATCTTTGTAGTCATATAGTTAAGTAAAATTTTTAAAAATACTAATCATCAAAAATATATATATCTTAGCAAACGAGTCGAACACGAGCTTCTTAACAAGCTGAACACGAGTTGTTCACGAAAAACGAGCCATCTTGACAGCACGCACGAGTGGGCTTGTTTAAGAAAAAAATAATAAAAATATATTCCAAATATATTAAAATTCAAGAAACTTTAAATTATTTTAATATTTTATACTTTATATTAAATAATTATTATTACTTTATGCGTGCTAAAAAATTCGTAATGGTAGAGTAACGGACTATTGTTTTAGCGTTGTATGAAAGTTCAGCATACACACAGATAAAAGAGAAAAAATATGTGATGACTCCAGAAATTTTTACGTGGAAAACCTATAAGTGAAAAACTACAGGGTCTGACCCAGTTGCGGAAATACACTAATAATTGATGACTACAAAAATCCTTACTCCCGCGGACAGGAAAATGGTAACTAAATTTTTCAGATTACAACATCGACTGACGGTGTCTAGTTGGAGGTGATCGATGGTGGTTAGTGCTGATGGATGACGGTTGGCGGAGATCGACGACGGTCGGCGGAGGTCGACAACAGTCGGCGGTGATGCTGAGCTGCAGCTTCTCCTTAAGGCCTCAGGCTCTCTCTAAATTTCAGTTTCATCACATGTGAGGGGTGGGGGTCTACTTATAATATTATGAGTGTAATTAATACAGAAATATCAATCCTTTTGATCGGACAATCCAGAGAGTTTTCTCCGATCATGTCGCATTTAATAGACATTTGAGTGTCTTAACGATGTTTGAATTGAGTAATCTTGGTCTCGTTGGATTTGTCTTGTCGAGTCACTAGATTCGAGTATAAACTTACCAGTGTCGACATATGTTTGACCTTCCAAATGTATCCATAAATATTCCAATGGTCGTTTAATGACTTGCATTAGATTAGTTTCCATATCATTAGCTTCGTCTCATCGAGTCGGTCAGTTTGACTATAAGTTTGTTTAAATCGGAGCTCTGGATGACTTTTTACCATGATTTAAATGTTTCTTGCTTAAAATATCGTCTCGAAATTCAAGTTATGCTTCGAGATTTGTGCCAGATGATGAAAATTTGTTAGTGGCGTTCATTACTTATCTACTAAAACCTTGTTATATTTATCATTTCATTGTTTTACTAGTTTGACTTAATATATTTTATGTTTCTCATATTAAACAAGTCGATTTGAACTTGTAAAATTAAGTTAAAGCTCAAACTCGAACTCGATTAATTAATCAAGTTCGACTTGACTCACACACCCCTAACTTGCACTTGCATATTTACATAATGGTGATCCAATGGCCAAGAATATAGAAGAAAGGGCACCATGACAGACAAAATGTCTCACATCGGCTAGGTGTAGTGCCGATAAACAGTATTTAAGTCATGGGCTGTCCACCACCTCAAATAGCTCTTTTGGGAGGTGACAAGTGATATCAAAGCAGATTACTGTTTGTCATGTGTGTGGACTCTCCATTGTCCAATGAGACCCTCTGAGGAGTCGATCCGTGATGAGGGCGCATGTGATTTTGTGGAGGAGAATATCACGGACAAAAAGTCCCACATCGGCTAGGTGTAGGGTCGAAGAGCAGTGTTTAACTCCTGGGCTGCCCACACTTGTCACCTTCCAAAAGGGTTCTTCGAGGTGGTGGGCAGCACAGGAGTTAAACACTGCTCTTCGGCCCTACACCTAACCGATGTGGGATTTTTTATTTGTGACATTCTCCTCCACCCAATTGCGTGACGCCCTCATCACGGATGGGCTCCTTCGAGGGTCTCACTAGACCATGGAGAGTCCATAGACCTGACAAGCGGTAATCTGCTCTGATACCACTTGTTACCTCTCAAAAGAGCTCTTTGAGGTTGTGGGTAGCCCGGGACTTAAATACTGTTTTTCGGCCTTACACCTGGCTGATGTGGGACTTTTTGTCTGTGACCTTCTCCTCCACCTAATCACGTGACGCCCTCGTCACGGATCGGCTCCTCTGAGGGTTCCACTGGACCATGGAGAGTCCACACACCTGACAGACAGTAATCTGCTCTTATACTACTTGTCACCTCCCAAAAGAGCTCTTTGGGGTGGTGGGCAGCCCGGGATTTAAATACTGCTTTTCGGCCCTACACCTAGCCGATGTGGGACTTTATGTCCATGACAATCTACTCCGCCCAATCACATGACGCCCTCGTCACGGATCAGCTCCTCTGAGGGTTCCACTGGACCTTGGAGAGTCCACACACCTGACAGACAATAATCTGTTGTGACACCACCTGTCAGCTATTTTGGGAGGTGACAGGTGGTATGAGAGCAGATTGTCGCATGCAGGTGTGTGGACTCTCCATGGTCCAGTGGAACCCTCGGAGGAGCCGATCCGTGACGAGGGTGTCATGTGATTGGGCGGAGTAGAATGCCATGAACATAAAGTCACACATTGGTTAGGTGTATGGCCAAAAAATAGTATTTAAATCCTGGGCTGCTCACCACCCCAAATAGCTCTTTGGGGAGGTGACAACCCACTGAGATCCGTTCGGACGAATCTGTATATAAATTGGTCAAATAATTTGCAACCCAACTTGAAATTTTGAAAAATCTAATCGATCCAAATTTTGATAAAAATTAATTGATGAAACCACGAGTTAATTTGATTTAATTGATTCAGCTATGAACAAATTTTAATTAATGACAAGCAATATGAAAATATATCTTAAATGTTCATTATCAATTTAATTTTATGAATCTACATTTCAGTTCAATTAAATGTACATATATGACAAACTTTAATTTTTTTATGAGTTAAAAAAGTATGAAGATATACGTACATACCATTTAGTTTTTGTGTATTTACATATTTAACACTTAAACTTAATATTTACAATAATGCTATGTTATTAATGCATGAAAACGTGTATTACATTTTTTTTAGCTTATAATTGTGTTAGTTTTAATGAAATATGAAAGATTTTAGTTGTATAAATGTAAAAAAGCAAAGTTTGGGTATTAGTACACAGAACTTAGGTGTATGCAAGTATATGCTCCTAAATTGGCAAAAAATTTTATGTCCGGACGTAGCTCTACGTGCAGACTTCCAATAATATGCCGCCGGTTTGAGGTTATTGTGGGGTTTTTGAAGTGAAACCACAGAGATTATTAGGGGGGTTATTGCGGGGGTTAATGCAAGACGTTATTGAATTGGAACTGCGGAGGTTATTGGGGGATTATTACGGTGGTTATTATCGAAGGGTTATTGAAGTGGAACCACAATGGTTATTAGGGGGTTAATTCGGGGTTATTGTCGGGGGTTATTGAAGTGGAACCGCAGAGGTTATTAGGGCGTTATTGAATGAGGGTATTGGAGTTGAACCGCGGAGGTTATTGGGGGGTTATTTATGTGTTTTTTAAGTTAATGACCCAATAACCTCCGAATAAAATCCTAGTGTTATTAATATAGAAGATGTCTTTTCTAAACAAAAAATTGTGGAGACTTTTTTTATGGACGGTGATATGAATACTGCCTATTACCATGTCATTATCAAAAAGATGAGATTGTTGAATTATATTCATAAAATTAAGAAGAATAATACCAACATTATTCAGTCTCTTGATCATATTAAAGCAAATGGTATTTTTTATTTCACTGATCTCTTTAATTGTGATAACCATGTCTTTTTAGGTATTAATGGTGATCTTTTTTCTGCTGATGTTAAAATGGCGGTTGGGATGGATATTGCTTTTACTCCTAACCACGATGAGGTAAAAAATGCTCTTTTATCCATTAATAGCAATAAATCTGTTGGGCCAAATTGTTATACCTCTGCTTTTTATAAGTCTTGCTGGGATATTGTGGATAATGATGTGGTTTGTGTGTTCAAGATTTCTTTAATGGAAATGATCTCCCTAAATATTTTAAGGCTTCTAATATTGTTGTCATTCCTAAACATAAGAATGTTATTCATTAGGATAATTTCAGACCTATTAGTCTTGATATGGTAGTGTCTAAAATCATTTCCAAGACTGTGGTAAACAAATTGCAAGACCATCTTAATATATTAATTTCTCAAAATCAATCTAATTTTATTAAAGGTAGATCTATTACTGAGAATACTTTGATTGTTTTTGAGATGACTTTGGATCTTGATAAAATTTGTAGAAATGGTAATCTTATTTTTAAAATAGATATTCTAAAGGCTTTTGATACTATCAAGTGGGATTTTATTTTGGGAGTGTTCAAAGTTAGAGGTTTCAATATTAATTATTGTCTTCTCATTAGAAGAATTCTTGAAAATAACTTTTACTCTATTACGATTAATGAGAATAGTTGAGGCATTTGTACTTCTTCTAGAGGGATCAAACAAGGTGATCCTTTATCTTCTATATTTTTCATCACGTCTTTTGATTATTTGTCTAGATACTATAACAAGTTATCCTTTGATTATCCTGTTATTAAGGGGAATTTTGGTCTTTCCCACCTTGCTTTTGCTGATGATTTAATAATCTTTACTGATGCCAATAAGGGTTCCATTAAAAAGCTTTGGACTGATATAGAACATTTTCAAGTAGTTTTTGGTTTGTCCTTTAATGGAAATAAAAGTTTCACTTACTGTTTCAAAAAGATATTAACCAAGAAGAAAAATTGGATCTAGGATTTTACCGCGTTCAATAAAGGTATCTTGCCTTTAACTTATTTGGGTTACAATTTAGATAAAGGTAAAATAAATATGCTTTTATTTTATAATCTTATTGAGAAAATTAATAAGAGAATTATGTTGTGGGATAATCTTCTTCTTTCTTTTGGGGGTAAAGCAACTTTGCTTAAAAGCGTTTTTACCTCTTTACATCTTTATACTTTAGTTTTTATGAAAATTCTTTCTATTTTAATTAAGAAAATTGAGAATAGTTTTAATAAATTTCTTTGGGCCGGTAAGGATTCTAAAATCCACTGGTTAAGTTGGAGGAAAATGTGTAAACTAACTCATTCAGGGGGATTGGGTTTTAGAAATATTTTTGATTCTATGCATATTAGTTTTATGATATTGTGGTTTCAGTGTAGAAATGGTAATTCGATTTGGTCCTCTTTGATGAGGAATAAACACTGTGGCAAGTCTCATCCTCTTTATATTACTCCTAATCCATTGATTCCTTTATTTGGAAAGAAATGCTGAATGTTGCCAAAATTACCTAAGATTTCTCATTCTGGGATGTTGGTAAAGGGGATTGCAGCTTTTGGTATGATTGTTGGGCAGGGGAAGCTCCTTTAGCTAATTTTTATTTGGGCCCTTTTGATATTAATATTACTTTTAATAGCTGGCGAATAATGATAGTCGAGACTTAAGTAAGCTTTGCAGATTGGTTGGCCATGAGCTGGCTACTTTTACTGGTAAAATTCCTATTACTCATGATTTTTATAAAATTAATATGAAAGGTCAAGGTAGTAATTCTATTTCTAAAACCTTTGCTAAACCTTTATCGATTTCTACTGGTTTAAATTTAGCATGGGTTTGGAATTCTTTTTTAAACCTTTCCATTTCTTTTTCTATTGGAGGCTTTTTTTATCAAATTCTACCAACATATGATATTCTTAAAACGAGAATCCCTTCTAAGTGTTATCTTTGCAATCAAAATGAAAAAAAAATATTGGAACACATTTTCATTACTTGCAATTTTTCTTATGAGGTTTGGTCAAATGTCTATACCTTTTGCGATAACAATATGACTGATGTGAACAAGTTTTTGATTGCCGGTTTTTTTAACTTTTGGAAGCAATGTGGTGGATGTATATTCTTTTATTCTATTCGTATTGTTGTTTGTTGGTATCTTTAGTTTGCCAGAAATGAATCTAAACATAAAGGTAATTTAATTTCTCGATTTTCTTGTGTTACTTTTATTAGAAATTATATTTATCAAATGCTTAAATTTAGAAATATGAAGAAACCTTTGGCAGTGGCTGTGATGAAAATGTATGAAAAGTTTAATCTTGTGATTCTTGCTTTCTGTATGCCTGTTACTAATTTGATTTTATGGAAGAAACCATCGTGAGGTAATTTAAATTTAATATTGTTGGTAGTTGGAATAATTTATATGCTGGTATTGGTGAGGGTGTGCCGTAATTTTATAGAATAATGTTTGTTTTGGTTTTCTGCTCCTGCGGCAGCTGTTAATCCTCTTTGTGCAAAAGCTAAAGCGGTTATTTTGGCTTTTTCCTTATAGGTTAAATGTGGTTGGTCTACCATTAAGGTTGAGATGGATTCGATGGAATTTTGGAATTATTGTACAAAAAAGAAATTGTATCATTAGTTTCTAATTATTCATATAAAAAAAAAAAATCTTTGCTATTCTTATGTTTGTACATGTTTATTGGTTTTTTATTCATCGAGAGGGAAATCAGTGCACTAACTGGGCTGCTGAATGATAATTGGAGACTCTAAGATTTCAATTTATCTACCGGTCTTCCTCTTGAGTTAGTTCATTTGAGTAAAGTGTATTGTTTATATATTACTTATATCCGTATTGATAATAATTTTTTATGTTTTTTTACTGTCCTGTATGTTGGTATTACTTGACTCCTTTATTTTTTAATTTTTTTGTGAGTTGTTAGGGTGGTAGGATATTTTCGCTACATTGCTTTTTATTTTGTTGAATAAAATTTCCTTCGGGATTATTGAAAAAAAAACTCCCAATAAAATCTGCTGTTCTAGTGTAATATTTTTTTAGGCGGACCCAATATTCAAACATGACATCATATTACCGGAGTCCGCACGCACAGTTTCGTCTGGACTCCAGATGGAAAATTTTATTCTTAAATTGTAAGGAGAAATTTTAATAAAATTTAAGTTTTCAATTTTTAATGTTAAATGAAAATTTTAATAAAATTAATAATTGAAAATTGAATAATAACTTCTAAAAAATAAAAAAATAAATAAAAATACATTTTTGGAACGTAACGGAGTCAATCAATGGAGATGAAAATTTAGCTAATTTAGCTTAATGATGATTAATTATTCAAAACTTGATTTGAATTGCGGCTCAATTTGAGGGTGTATTTGAGTCAGTTTGTGCTTATCCAGATAATCAACTTACTCTGTAACGCGGCTCGTGAAGTTCAACGCCTAAGTTTAGTGTAAAAATACAATCATATTTTCTGATAAACGGTAGAAACATGTATTCCAAATCGATGAGGGAGTATAAGTTGGCCCAAACGGGCATCAGATTGGATGGAATGAAAAGGCTTTGACGAATAGTATCATTAAAATTTAAAATGAGGAAAATTAAGTTAGAAAAAAAATTCATTAAAATTTATCGGGACAGTGGGAAGACTCTAGATTCTAAAACGCAAATTAATATCCTGACATGGTAAAGGTTTTATCACTTCCTTCTTCTCACTAGTTAGGTTTGTTACCCTTCCGACGCCTTCCATGGCGAGCATCGATCTGGAGAAGAAAGCGAAGGAAGCTTTCGTTGATGACAACTTTGAGCTGGCCGTTGATCTCTATACGCAGGCCATCGACTTGGATCCCAAAAGCGCCGATCTATATGCTGACCGTGCTCAGGCAAACATCAAACTCGGCAGCTTCACCGGTACCCATCTCCCTTATCTTTGCGCGATGTTCTTTTTCTCGGTTTCCGAGGATATTCAGATCAAACCGAACATCGGAATCACGCTGGTCTCGTCTTACTAATGTTTATCTGATTGGGTTGTGAATTTTGCTCATTTTTTTGGGAAATTGTACGTTTTGTTTGGTCCGGCTATGTACGTAGTTATCCTTTTTTGTTCTCGGATTATTTCATGCCTGCGATTGATAGATTGCCCGGGTTTTCGATTGCTGAAGCTCCTTTGCCGTGTCCTTCTTATCTTTGGTTATAGTTGGTTCTTTCATGGTTTTATTTGTCTAAATCAGTTCGTTGTCTTAGCTTTTCCGATTTAGATTGTTCAGTACAATGGCATGAATTGACTTATGATTATCTAAAAGATACGAAATATCTAGTTCTTGCTCCTATTTTCCTTGGTTTTTAAACAAGAAGAAAGGTAACATAACCGTTTGGCTCTGGTGCTTACCATCTTTACAACAATGCTAAACGGAAGAGCTAAGGATCATTACCGATCTTCATCTGGTTGGATGCGTCTCAAACAGTGGGCCAAACTGGCCTTCCTTCTGTTCATCCAGTCGGCATCTCCAGCTCCTCGCTTGCCCTTTAGGGTCTGGTAAGCAGATTATTCTGATAATCTGATAATCTGCAGATTATCAGAATAATCTGACTTGCTGTTTGTGACAGCTTATTCAGATTAGCTTATTGGTGGTTACATGACATTCCTGCCCCTGTCTGGTAAAACTGTTTGGCACAATTTATTCAGAATAACTTATTGGTAGAACAAAAGAATATAGTGCAGAAGCATACCATCATAACAGATCAGTTCCAAAAGATGGCATACAGTTTTCGCACTCTCGTGAGTACCAAAAGAAATAAAAGAAGTATAAAGACTAGCAAAATTACAATTAGAAATATTAAAATATTTAATTTTAAACTTTGGCTACATCTGTTCTCATCTGCACTATCAACCTGAGAAAACATCGGATTTCCATGACTGCTGACAGTGTAATATGTGGGATTGTCAGCCCACCGGAAGAAGCCGTAACGACCTGAAATACCGTTAGCGCAACCATAGAACTGCCTACCAAAGCTACGAGACTGACGCGACGTGAGAAACAGAGACGATTGTCCACAATAACACAAAATACCTCTGTCTGTGACTGATATCCTAGAAGTCATGTTCGTATCACTTAAAAAAAAAACAAAACAAAAAAGGAAGGTCAGCACTTATCCAAAAAAAAAAGACATACAAAATTAATCTACATATATGCGAAGAAAAGAAATACTTACTGGATTAGCTGCTATATATAGCATCTGCTATAGGCTCCCTCAGAGAAGCCATTTCGACCGCACTCTCATTGTCCTGAGTTTAATATTTAGTAGACTCGATCTCATTATCAGCTAAGATCCTGAAGGTTATAGGGAGTCAATAATTGGATCATCATCAACAATATTGAAGTCCGTATCTGAATGCGACGGATGTCGTTGGATGGAGTTGTGAAGTGCCATAGTGGCCACCACAATATGCACCTGTTTAGAAAATGAATACGACGACATATCACGTAGGATAACCCATTTTTTCTTCCACACTCCAAATGTTCTTTCAATAACCCCCCGTAAAGAAGAGTGTCGTTTGTTAAACATTTTTTTTCTGCCACGAATCGTGTCACTTATTCGCTGAAAATCAGGAATATGATATCTGGTATATGGAAAGGGCTTTAGGTAGCCCTTTATCATTGGATACCCAACATCTGCTAAAAAATTAATGTAATTAAGAAGATTTTTAATTAAACTGAACAAACGTGGAGGTGGGTGAGGAAAACATTGTCTTTTACTCCTAGTTGCATATGAAAAAAGACGACTGTCATGCGCACTTCCTTCCCACCCCGCCATTACAAATGTGAAACACATGTTGAAGTCACACACTGTCATCAATTTTGGGTAGTCCTATCACTCCGACCAATGTATGCGATTTTTTAATGACTTGGTAGTCGGACATCCACATGCGTACCATCGATTGCTCCGATGCAGTTCTGTAACTCATAGTTAGCAATTCCAGGGGTATTGAAGTAAATGTAACAAACTAATTAAACTTACTTTGAAATACGACATGTAACGGGAATCATTTGCAATTTGTTCAGGAATAGTTGCGAATGAAAGATCAAATGACTTAATGTTTTTCGTTGCTAAGCTCACAAATGCTTGTATACCTTTGTAGAAGTATCGATTAATTATTTCAGATGAATGCTTAAATCGCTCTATAACTCCTTTAACTGATTCATTCTGTGATAGAATATATAATGTTATAGCCAAGACCTCTCTCGTGGTCGTCCTAGAAAAATCTTGGAGGCCGTTGTTACAATATAAGTCATGTAGAAGATCTATAAAAATGGGTGCACTCATTCGAAAAATGCTATTGAACCTTATTGGATGTCCGACAAACATCTCACCAACCCATTTATTCCCAACATATGTGGATGTCATGTGTGGTATTCGTCTAGTGCTAGAGCGGTAATATTTCAACAACAATATCACTATTGCTGCAGCCCATGCCATTCTTTTACGAAGATCTCGTAGTTGATCCATCCTGAAGTTATAAATTCATTAGGATGAAATAATTTATCAGAAAATGCCATAAATGAAATACATGTAGCGAGGAAAGCCTCTGAAAATGACATAACTGCAATACATAACATCGAATTAAATCCAAGCATCATGAAATGAAGTTCATCAAACGAAATACAAAGCTTTCGGAAATTAAGTACATCAAATGAAATACATCCTTATCCTTCCACTAAAACACGTAAATATTCAAGGCGCAAATCGAGTTGTAAGACCATGAATATTTGCCTACGCGTAGGGTCCTCAAGTTTTTTAACTCGTTTGGCCTGAAAGCGTATATCAACAACTACTTCTGGAATAGTGTCTAAAATGACAACACAGTCCAAGATGGTGCTGTCAGGGGGAGGTGGAGCTGAAAAAACAGTAATGAGTTCATGAAATGAGCTTTTCAAGAAAGTATCATTCTCTTTTGTCCTCCTGCCAAGCCTAGGCCTCTTGTACATGGAACTAGAATCTCCAATATCCTTTTGGTTTATATTAGGCCCTTCTTCATTAGCTATGACCTGTTAAGGTGGCAGTTCATCTGGTATTCCTGAAAATCCCATTTCACTTGAGTTCAATGAAGTCTTTCCAGTTGCAACAACCCCTGTGAACATTATGTCCAGTTTTTCCTCGAAATCAGGTTCAATTCCGCACTGCCTATATTTTTTGGCAGGTGGTGTTACCTGGAATATAAGACATTGATTAGAGGAGTTTAAGCATTAACTAAAAAATAAAAAAATTAAGAAAAGACATTTTTATTTATTACCTACAATCTTTCAGTCCACCACTCATCTGGAGCATCGATAGTTTGTTTAACGGGATCCCACCCAATCCGGTAGAGTCACGTTTCAGCTCCTTCCATATTTTCTATTCTTTCTTCAATTTGTCCCATTTGTTTTTGAATTTAAGTCTATCGTAATCTCTTCCAGTCAATTCTTTGAACCTCGCACCAATATTGTGTCAACCATCCTTATTAAAATACATAGTAGGCATGCTCCCAAATTCAATTTCTTTTATACATAGATCGCAAAATATATTGGTAACTTCTTTATCCCACATTGCGGAGGGACCCCCTTCAGACGTCTTAGCCATTGTGGAACTATATGAAGAATTGCATATTGCATAAATAAATTCATGTTGAAACTCAATAAGCATAATAAAATTATCTATACTAACTAACAGGAGTTCAGAGATTTGCTAGAAATGAATCAACATCCATACATGTCGTGGAATCAACAAAATGCAACAAAAAATGAACCAACATCCACATAATTAACCAATAACAGTGTGAAGATTTGCTAAAAGGAAAAAAAAAATTCACAAAGGATTTATGTGATTCGGTCAAAGACTTACATCCACAGTAAGACATCGAACATGTTTTATTATCCAATTATGTAAGAGTACATTGTTATTGTTGACCTCGCTTTAGGTCAAGGTGTAGTTTTTCCCCTTCTTAATAACCTAGGATCTAGCCGTAGGACCTTTCTGTCGACTACTCCTAGAAAACTAGTGAATGAGCCCTATCCGTTAGCAATTCTGGACTTTTCTTCGCTCGACTTGACATTCCATGTAGTAATTTTGATCACTATTGCTTAGCAGGTAAGGCTTCTCCGAAGGAACTCAGGGAGCATTCCTATAGACTGCCGGTCTTAGGATTGACTCTACTCGTTGATTTGGCGCCGCTGCGCTCTTCGCCATCCTGTTTAATCGAATTCGAACCGAAATTTTGATACGATTCGGACTGCGACGCGTTTGGTCACAATCGTCAACAAAGTTGCCCGGACGACTCCGGATGACGAAACGGACCGCGCCGACTCGTTCGGAACGTCGATCTTGCTTAAGAAGGACGTTCGCTTCATTGCGACGACGCGTCTTGGGGAAAATACCTATTTAAGTGTTAATTATAATAATAAATAATATATTATTATTATTATTATTATAATTAATAACTTATATTAAAATCCTTAACCTAACTCCATTTCTCCCCTCTCCCGTTAAACCCTCAGGGTTTGCCCATCCCCTGCGGCAAATCCTTATCTCTTTTCTCATGATGTCGCGGCCTCTCGAGCCGCAAACCCCCCATGCGCGATCTCTTATCCCTGCTCCTCTCTGCGACGATTGTCGCCCTTCTTCCCGCTTCCCTCGGCTCTGGTCTGCGGTGGGTGAGTTTAAGCGAGCTCCTCTTCTCTCTGATAGATATATTTACTCTATTTGGGGAGACCCAAAAGGAGAGGCCGAAAATCTTTCTAAGGGAGAAAACTCTGCTCTTTTCCTTTCTCACTCACTTCTTTGATCTTCTGGTGCTTGAATTGATTTCCTCTTGCTGTTGGAGGAGTAATTGAAATTGGGGAGGGCGTTTAGAGTTCTTGTGTTACTTTCTTTTT